GGACTGCGGAATTATTTGGAATACGATGTTGCCCAGATTATTTCGAACAATATACGGGGATCACGTTACGATCAGTGTTTTCAAATTCTGTTAAAGTTAAAACGTCACTATAAAATTTACTATTGCACAATTGGACGACGGGCTTTTGTATGTATCCATACTAGTTATTATGGAGCAAACGTAAGTGAAAAATAACTTTCTAATCTCCAATCGTCCCCATACAAATACATTTGCATTTGGTATCTTATTGCTAGTCGTTTTTTAATAATATCTTATAAGTTATTTGCTCATGCCTAAATAATGTCCTGAACAAAATCAATTGTTTTTTGTTTTATAAATTGTAGTGATTTTTTGAAATACGAGAAACCTTGAGGACATATTGTGAATATTGCACTTCGCTAAATTTAATTTGTTGAGATTAATGCCAAGGTTTCCCTTCGTCTGTTAGTAGTATGCTCATAAGTTCCATAAACACAACTCACATGCGTACGATGTTAAATGCTAGGTTAACTCGGGATATGTCAAAATGCATGCAAGGTACACCATTAACTCCGCCGAAATTCAGTAGGTAGCATTCAATTTCACGCCAACAACGCCGTTTTTAAGCGGAAAACTAAACAGAACTGTCATAGAGCAAAGCAGATAACTGGCATCTTCTCGTGCTAGGCAAAGCATAACATTCCAATAAACATTGATAAACTTCCAAAGGCGTTTCGATAAAAAAGGTTCAAAAGTCACAACATTTACATTAATAGCCACATCTTTAAAAGACGTTGGTGGACGATTTCACCCACTGAAAAAAAAACAAATCGTGCCTTAAAAGTTTGTAGACCACTCTTCTATATTTAGACGTTTGTTATTTGTGTACGAACTGCAGGCTGTGTGGTTTCCTATTTGATTGCATTGGCGATTGATAAGCATAAAAGGTATAAAATTAAATTGGTGGATGCTTACTATGAGGACGACGTAGATGTTAATATAATAAAACGTGAGATTGCATGCCACTTTTGTGTCCAACGTTTCTATATCTTTGCCAACTTTGAAACACGCATACATTGTGGGATCAGTCGCAATGATCATTCGAAATCTCGTTTTGGAATTTCCACCATGCATGCGTTCTAAATTAAATGAGGATATTCTGCGTAGTCCGTCTAACAAGATTTCTCCCAAATTAACGTTGCCTTGGCTGCGCGGACAAGGCATGCGGAATTAAGCAAAAATGAACAATAGGTCACATTAATAAAGAACTTAAAATATCGTGCATTACCACAGCGTGACTTCTTTACCAGAGACAGTTAAGTAACATTCAGACTACATCTCACATGTAGACATGCAACAGTTCCACGTATTACTCAAGCTGTTGGCTCGTAAGCGACTTAAATGTTTAAATGAATACTAATTTGCATCAAAATGGCTATGTATTAAGGCGTTGTTCCATAAAATCTATATACAACGCTGGTCTTTTAGCAGTTCATATATCAACTAACGATACTTAACACAGGCGAAGTTCACATTTACTAAGACCGCGCATTAAAATTCCTAAAATTTTTGTGTGTTTCCATATTTCTATTGAGATTTCCAGTTAACCTAGGCACTCGCATATTACTAAAAGTTCAATCAATTGTAGTCAAAGAGCCTGAGAAAATATTAGGATACAAATGTAACGAGTTACACCGCAACTTCGTTTAGGCCAACTCAATTGGATCTGCCGTCCGCTTGCAGGCTAAATTTAGCTGCAAATACTGGAATATCATTAACACACCTAAGACCAGAATGCACTACGTGGGAACAAAAAAATGCAATTAGTTTTCCCAGAGATCAGTTTAGTTTAAAATGCAAACGGCAAGACCAATGGGAGCAGTTATTTCGGGCCATTTGTTATGCAATGGCACGGTCTGTACTCATTCGTAAGAAGCTAAGATATATTTACATTACCGTTATTTGCAGGTCTACCAAACAGCCAATAATGTCCATTTGTATTTACTTGATTTGTATTCCTTGATTTTAGGGTTTACAGTCGGTCAGAATAAGTAAGAGGTCGGAAATTTACACTAGATATGCTTAAACGTGAAATGTCGACTAAACATTTGAAATGCGTTTTCCACTCTAAAAGTCTATATATTACCAACTATTTGGTTAAATATCAATAATATAGTCCAGTCACATTATAATGCCGACTTGCGAACAAGTTGCTTGTCAACACCTGCGTCAACCGCACACCGTAAAAAGGATCCCTTAAGCAACGCTAATTTTTACTATTAGTTTTTGGAGCCCTTATGAATTCAAATATGATTACAGAAAAATATCATAAAGGCATTTATTATTTTACTCAGTTGGTAGTTTACTGAGTATTCTTTGAATTTTACCCTTCGGGAAATTTCAACTCACAGCATTTATGAATATAATGGTTTACACTCAGCCAAAAAAATCTGACCATGCATTTAGATTTCCCGCATGTTAAATTATGCCATGACTTCCAATTATTAATTTAGTGATTTCAATTCGGACGATTGCTTTTTTCTTTGGCTTAAGCCGTACTTAACAATTAACCACTCCCCGTGTGGCCATAAACACTGGACATGGGTTATGAGATCTGCATGATGATGGTGAACATCTGATTTTTCAATTTCTTTATTAATGTCTTTTGTACAAAGTACGGTTGAAACCTTTCTGTTTTGTTGAGTCCTTGTGTTGCAATGGGTACAATTTATCGTATCATTAACGATTACCATACAGACTTAAATGTTGTTATACTGCTAAATATTGCTAATAGAAGCAAAGATGCGGGTCCCCGGACATAAATAAAAAGTCAGGACAGTAAAACTATGGTTCTCGAGATCGCCTTTATTCTCACTGTTAAATATATACATTCCGAAAATCGTTTCTGCCCCATCGCATATCTAATCAAATGCGCCTTTTGTAGACTTAATGCATAAAATGGAGTTCAAATCATTGCTTTTCAATTTTTGTCCAGCGTTTCGCAAAATAAAAGACAGTTACTCAAAATTTGCTTTAGATTAACAACATCGAATTTTACGCTTCAGTAACCTTGCAACCAACATGCTGTGTCATGTTTAAACCAAGACCCTCCTTTGACCGGAAAGGAACCCGACATAAGATTTGCATGATTGAGATGAGGTTAATCGTACTAATGAAAAAGGCGGAATAGTATTTGTTATGCAAATCCCAATTTTGCCGCCAAGGCGGGCTTCAACTGAGGCATATGAACGGCAACTGGCTTAGTGAGCAACATTCGTGGAAAGACTTTGTAATTTTTGTAAAAACTGATTGAGACAGGTTTTCTAATTGACGGCCAATAGTTGCGTTTCATCGAATAGGGACGATTTCTCTCTATTGCATCCTAGTATGCGTCAGGGCGGTGCATTGAAGCGGTAAGCTTTTGTAGATTAAACGCACGTGTCATTCTTAAACTTACATGACAGACGTTCATAGTAAGCGCGGAAGACATTAAATACTTGCAATTTTCGTAATCATGCATATGTTTTGACAAAAATCGCAAGAACTCGTCTGACATATATTTCCTCGACAGCATCGTTAAGTATATCATGCAGATTTTACAAGGCAACAATCAGCCGGTGTATTAGTTTCAATGCGTAATGGTCACAGTGACCCGTTTTAACTAGAAGAACGCATATTTCCTGTTCCGTCAGTTGGAAGAGAACGATTGAGCCAGGTTTAGAACAAGCGCGCATTATAGTTTAGTGTTTTTAACGTCCGCACTGCGCCAATCAAATTTAGGGTCGGTAGTATTACAACTTCCTGGTAGAGCCTCGTTTATTTGCTATATGTTACCATCTTGGAAGCTATGAGTTTCATTAGCCAGCATCCATTGTGTTCTACGAGTTTGTGTGCGGGGACTGACCATCAGTCTTGTTGTAAACATGGCGCTTAGGGTCGTTAGGTGGTTCCAATGCGAGACATCACCGTACTGATGATGACAGCGAGATGACATCAAATGACGGTATCCTCGCGTTAAAACTGGTTGTGGCAACCTTTATAGAAATTACTCTGTGGAGTGCACCGGTGTATGCACGTCCCGATTAATAAGCTCATGCAAGCCAATGTGATAGCGTTCGACCATCGGTTTCGATGATGTCCACCGTGTCCCCACAGTTGCAGCAACAATGGGAGCAGGGACGGTGACTTACGCAGGGGTTTATAGTGCCGGTAGACTTGCGTAGCATCTACCTACACTCTCTCCTCTTCCCTCGCCCGAGTCCGGTGTCAAGACAGAGTCAAGAAGACCGGAGACGAAAGAGGCCGCAGGTGGATGGCTCGGACGGATCCTCACCTTGGCGTTCCACCACACCCCCTGGTCCACACAACAAATAACCAGGATGTCAACCAACGCGACAAAGATTTGGAGGCTGGCACGGCCGAAACCGCACCTGGGCGTGCCGCCAACGCCTGGCTCGGATCCCACACTGTGATGGGAGTGCAATAAAGGCCACATTCAAAAAGAGCCATTGCAGCCTGACTCTCAGACCGCCTCCCGTGAAAGAGGAGGTCCAAGGTACCCCGTCAGTTGGCATCCTTCCAAGCCACGGCTTTTAGCGCACCGTGATAGTTTCAAGCGCGTCAGATTGTTTATAGAGAGGAGAAAGTGCGCTGAGTCGCCGACCTCACTCTCCCTTCCCACTTCTACACCCCAGCCGCTGTCCGAGCCGGTCAGCAGACTGGAGTGGGGAATGGGCGCGGTGGCTGTCATGGTCGACTGACCATGACTGCGCGCGCCACGACACGACCTGCCCCCCATACACACAAAACCAGGATTTCACACAACGGGGGTTTAATGGCGTGTCACTCACGTGCGTGAGAGTGCCGTGGAAGGTGCTGTTTCAGCCCGTTCCCAGCCCACCAGTCCGCCAGTCCACACAACACTCACACAACGGGACATACTGCGTGAGCCGAGAACGGGCGTCAGTCAGCAGCTATCCTATCCACGACGCTTGACGTGCCGGGATAGTCTCGGACTCAAATCACCCGTGCAGCCGAAGCCGCATGGGGACCGAGTCGAGATGCACACTTCCCACATGCGTGGTAGGTGGTAGTTGGGTGCTTGCGATGGGTGAGTGTTGATGTGTGGTGATGATGGTGGAGGAAGGTATGGAGTGTGTGCATATGTGGTGTAACCGGTGGTTGTCTACCGCAGGTCGTCGTGGATCCGCATGTGACCGAGTAGGCCCATGTGGTGCCTGAAAGTGCGAGGACAGTGTGGGCAGTTGAGACGAGCTTGGTGGGTATAGGTGGGTGCTCCAGGCACTGGTTCGACAGTCTCTGTGCGGTGGATGCGCAAGTGACCGACCAGACCGATGCGTGCGTGGACAATGTGGGCATGAGAAGTTGGCGGTGTCCGTGTCAGCTACTGAGGAGGCGGTGGTGGTGGCGCGGACGGATGGAACGAGGGTGGGGGTGTGCACGGTGGATGGGTTGGATGTGCTGGGTGTGTCGGGAGTGCGGTCAAGGCCGCTCTCGTGCATGCGCATGTGGCCGAAAAGGCCCATGCGATGCCTGAAGGTGCGAGGGCAGTGTGGGCATTGGAGGCGAGTGCGGTGGGTGTGGGTTGGTACTTCACGCACTGGTTCGCCAGTCTCTGTGCGATGGATTCGCAAGCGACCGATCAGGCCGATGTGTGAGGTGAAGGTACGGTCGCAGTGAGGGCAGGTGTAGTCCTGATCCTCATCCCTGGAGCCGGGGGAGGTGGTGGTAGTGTCGGTTGCTGTGCGCGGGACAGTCGCCTGAGCGGCCGCCGTTGGAGCAGTGGGCGAGGAGGAAGAGGAGGAGAAGGAGAAGGAGGAGGAGGAGGACGAGGAGGAGGAGGAGGAGGAGGAGGAGGAGGAGGAGAAGGAGAAGGAGGATGATGGAAGTGGTGGGTCATAAGAATTGTCAGGGTTAGTTGGCGGCGGAGAGGAGGAGGAAGAGGCAGGCGGGGGGACGATGGTTGGTGCCGTTCGAGAGGCGCAGTTAATCCGAAGATGTCCAACAAGTCCGATTCGAGCCCGGGATGTCCGTTGACATCGAGGACACGTTGGAAGCGGTTGTGCGGCGGCGTTGCTTACTGGGCGAAGTTGTGATTTGCGGGCTTCGCGTTTCGCTTTGGCAGCAGCGATGCGGTTGGCTTCGTAGATCGCAGCGCCTGTCTTCACTGTCCTCCTCCAGGTCGGTCGATCGAGTGCGAGCTCATCCCAGTTGGTGGGGTTGATTTGCAGGCATTTCAGGGAGGACTTCAGGGTATCCTTGTAACGGCGAATCTGGCCTCCTTGACGGCGAGAACCCGTCGCGACGTCTCCGTAGAAGAGTCGTTTGGGTAGTCGCTCGTCATCCATGCGCACCAGGTGGCCGCTCCAGCGCAGCTGAATTTGCCTCAGTATGGCGTAGATGCTGAGGATTCTTGTACGTTCCAGCACATCAGTGTCGGGGATTCGATCCTTCCACTTTAGCCTCAGGATGCGACGAAGACAATTGAGGTGGAATTGGTTCAGACGACGTGCCTGCTTTGCGTACACCGTCCAAGTCTCCGCTCAGTGGGAAACCACTGCTCAACAGGGGACATACAATTCGTAGTTATGTATAACCATGCAATTACTCTATATCTGCTTCTCAAAGTGGTGCCACAAACCCCGAAGGCAATGTCGACTGCGCGTTTTGTTAGTCGAGTTTCAGTTATTATGGCCCGAATAAATGAGGTCGTGGAAATTTTGACTGTTAGATTGCATCAAAGATTTGTTTCGAAAGTTAGTCTGGCAAGCTCTCATGTCGTAGCAGTATCTGTTCTGGGCTACAAATAGGGGTTAGGAGTTTGAGATTAGTGTTAGGAGTTACAGGTTCGGGTTATGGGTTAGAGTTATGTGCTAGGGGTTAAGGTAAAGTCTCGGGATGAGGGATTTGAGTTAGAGGTTATGGATTTGGGTTGGGATATAGTGTATAGAGCGGAGAGTTAGGAGTTATTGTTAAGGATTGGGGCTAGGTGTTAAATTTAGGGGTTATGCCGGGATTTTGCTACTGCAGGTACGGCTACTAAATAACACCCAGCCGTTAGTATTAGCAAAAACTATGATTAACGTGCGCTTGACATCCAGAAATTATTTGCTTTGCCGCCGGCATTAGGCCTCTAAAGGGTCTGTTAATTATCTGCTGAGGAGGGACAGATCTGGCAGTGTAAAATGAGCAACCAGGTGATTAGACATCAATTGGCATCTTTTCACGCGTCTGTTCCGCACGTTTGGTTATGATAGATTTAATGCCTTTGATGAATGTGATTTATTTATCGTTGGTTGATTCCAAACTATATCCAGGTTGTGCGAATTATGTTCGTAGGTAGTTGAATTTTTCCAACTACAGGTTTTGCACCGGCGTTTTCGCAGTCTCCGGGAGCTGCCATGTATGCCACTCTACTAGATTTAAGCAAATGCTTTGCATTCCAGCGTGTGAGGTTCTGTCGCCCCAAGGATAACAACTACCTCCCCAGTTTTATGGGCTAAAGGGAAACTTGGCACACTAGGGCCATACGTGTATAATATAACTCGGAGGTAACAATCTTGCATGAAAACTATTGCTGTGTTAGGGGGCGCTCACCGATCGTTCATACGGAACTCACTCGTTCCGTTGTGCCTTAAGGGCTCTCTCTCGAGCCCAACCAGCAGCCGCACAGCGGCGCATGATATATAGGCAGAATGGTATTACCGACAAAGATAAAGGCGACTGGAATGGCCATTTCTGGCTTATTAGCCGTCGTCAGCCAGCCATACCCAACCCCAACTGTGGAACACCCGAGCCTCGAACTAGCGACCTTTTAGTTTAGAAGTCCACGCCTCTACCCATTGGGCCACGAGCCCGTTGTCCTGTCGGTTTTCGATCGGGAATATACAATGGGAGGGGGCGCTCACCGATCGTTCATACGGAACTCACTCGTTCCGTTGTGCCTTTAGGGCTCTCTCTCTCGAGCGCTGCCTATATATCATGCGCCACTGTGCGGCTGCTGGTTGGGCTCGAGAGAGAGCCCTTAAGGAACAACGGAAAGGGGTGAGTTCCGTATGAACGATCGGTGAGCGCCCCCTACCATTGTATATTCCCGATCGAAAACCGACAGGGCAACGGGCTCGTGGCCCAGTGGGTAGAGGCGTGCACTTCTAAACTAACAGACCGCGAATTCGATGCTCGGGTGTTTCACACTGCGGACTTGGGTATGGCTGGCTGACGACGGCTAATAAGTTAGAAATGGCCATTCCAGTCTCCCTTGTCTTTGTCGATAATACCATTCTGCCTATAAAACTATGGCTATTCGTTGACCATCCGAAAACGTATATTATATCGCCAATGTAATGCTAATAGAATGTAAAGGCCGAGGTGTGTTGCGTGGGGCGGGGACGACATACAATGGGTGGGCTAAGTCATAAACTGTCAAAAAAATGTTAAATGCGCTTTTGTTTCGAAATGATTAATTGAGTAGGGTTGTAGAATTAGTCATCAAACAGCAGAATTTTCTAATAATTCAGTTGCCTCAGGATGCCTTATTTCGAAAGAACATCTTTTCGGCGGCATGCAAAATCCATACTCTGCAAAAAAGACTACTTAAATAGCATGCATTTTTATCATCAATTCTCGATGCGGCTGATATTTCATTTATATTTCATGGAAAACATGCCTACAAATATTCATTCCTTTGCTCATCCAGTAGAAAATGGCGTCTTCTTTCAATTGTATACTCGAAGGAATGGTGTAAGGAACTTTATAAATACTTTCAAATTGTGAGATTTTGAATATCGTAAAATGGCCGCTTATAAACCGCCATGTCTCTGTATTAACCAATGTGGCTTGTAAAGTTAACATAATGGCTAAAATCCTCTGCAAAATTTTATGAGCCCCATATAGTCTCCTTATAATACCGTAGAGAAATGTTTGGTTTCCTGTACGCGGAAAATTACGGCTCGAAGTTTAAGAACTCCGAGGCAAGTATCAAGGCAGGTCGGGTTCATAATTATTCAGGGATTGGAAATGATTTTGAAAACCGAATTATACCCTTCATTTGAGCATAAAATTGACAGAAGACGTAATTACCTTCCAAATGAGCAAAAGAGTCAATATTTTCATGCATGCTTTCTAGGAGGTAAAATTGAATTCTTAGCGGCTTCGAAAATCATAAGGGAAAAAGGCTCAGCACTGATGTAGTCATTTTTCCCAAATTATAGATTTTGCCCGCAGCATGGAAGAAGTTGGCTCAAGACCTGGCATCCTGAGGTAACTGAGTTACTATAATATTATGCTGCATGAAGATTAATTTTACAAAGTACATCATTAATCTTTTCGAAAAAAAAATTCATTTCGAAATTTCGATCGAAATTTCGTGAGTTAGTCCATCTACTGTAGTTTACTGTAAAACAAAAGCGGGATTCACATCCACAGTTGGCATTAACGACCTACCAACCGAGACAGATGAATCACAAAATGGCACCTGTGCAGAGGAAATAATCGACATTTGAAAAGTCAGACCACTAAAAAATCTCCTGTGAACGGTTCGTTCACTACGTCGGCATCAGAAATGTTCATTAGGTGACTCAATAGTGTGTTTTGCCTTCTCGGCGTACTCTGTTAAAAAAGGTAACGACAGCAGCTCGGTTGTTAAAATCAGAATGAGTTTAAGCTTGTTTATAACATTTTAATGTAATTGCTTGATCAAAAGCTGTCTGCACACATGGAGAGAACATGGGCATGAGCATAGGACTCTCGGATTGGCAACAGACTAACGTCGACCAGCTATGCAAACATATGTTCATAGTGCTCTCGGAAAAATGGGTCATACTTTTGGGGTAAGGCGATACCAAACTAACACCACGGGTACTGTCTTAAAGCCCATACGCGCGATTTTCGCCGATATTGGGCTGCCGCAGGAAACAGCTGCGAGAGGTTTGGCTCATCAGTGGGTCCCTCAGCATTCGCCGTCTCTTTTCTGTTAGATACTACAATTAAGACATTGTTGCTTTTTATTTCCTCAGCAATTGACTGCGCGCTTGGAAAATGAGATTAAAATCCAGAATTTGCTGATACACTCCAAGTTCGCAGTTAATTGTTGAGGAAATCCAACAGCATCAGACTCTATTGTATTACATAGCAGCTGCTGGCGCGTGGCACGAAATGGTCAGTAAATTGGATAATTTTATAACATATCTATTGCGAATATGCTATGTTTTATTAAAATTCGTCGGTAGGAAACACAATCAACGATCTATATTTATGCAATCATGTTTTTACAATAGACATCTTAATTCGCCGAAATAATGACCAATAAATACGTGGATGCTTAATAAAATCACATTTTTTAATCGCTGTCAGAAGCGTGACATACAGTCTGCAGACAATTTTAGCGTTCGATGGAATTGCGGCACAGTTCTGAAATTTAGCAATGTAGCAGCAATGATAGTGAAGCATTTCAGTTACTTTGAACAACGATTATTCTATTTTTAGAAAATTGTTATATATACTGGTATATCGGGGATTCTGAGGCCAAGTGTTGATAGCTGATTATGTCGTTTAAATGCTCATCTGTACTAAATGCATCGTGCTACGTGATACAGAAGGCAACAAGGTCTTGACGTCTTCACCTAAATTGCACCAGATTGGCTCAATTTTAATCTTGGGGGTTTTTGTAAGTGTGAACTTCAGTAGGTCAAATTTACTCAGCTTTGTTGTTACCGTCCTCTTCTGTCATGGTATTATAAACGTGTTCACCAGCTCGACATGTCTGTCTGTCAGAACTGGCAACAACATATTCAGATTATGTCGTTTAAACGCCAATTTGTAATAAATGCGTGGCGCTATGCGGGGCTGAGTCACATGCTGCAATAGGCAAAAGCGTCTTGACGGCTTCACCCATATGACACCAATTGGGTAAATTATATTGATCTTTGTTATTAACATTGTGCCGCATCTCACGATATTACAAAGATGCCGACCTGCTAGACACGTCCATCTGTCAGGGCTGACAACAAAATATCCGGGCCAGGATAGGCCGCAGTGAGACAAGCGGTCACTGTCTCTTGTGGTGGCATCAACAACACTCACGCAAGTCCATAAACAACACGGATACGTTCTTTGACCTAATAACCTCCCCCCCAATAGAAGATAATTAATCTGGCTTTCAGGTTTTCTAAAGGTAGCATTTCTAAAAGCTACACAGCTCAAGTAACGCCGTTAGTTTTCTTTTCCAGAGTATCTAATTTGACCGTCTCTTTCTGCCTTAAATTAGAAAACAGCATTTACTTCCGAAAACTACGGTTTTGTGTTAGATGAATGATGCTCCAACCTGAAGGGCGGTATACCTAACATTCTC